GTGTGACACTTCCAGCCATGGTGAAATTGTCCCTTCACACAGTGTCCGTAAGAGTGCTGGCAGTACTGCATGGAGTAGTAATGGCCATTGACAGTAAAAGGCCTTGGCTAGGGACGCTCTCTTGTGCCTCAGGGGAAGAAAAGAAGCACAGAGAATTAAGGGTAAGCCCCAGTCAGAACTTTGGTGGATGCCTCCTGTCTTGCCTGGACTGAGGGTGCTCAAAGCCCACCACTTCCAGGGGACTTTTTTGAGACATTGTCTCACTTTGTATCCTTGGTAGAGTGCCATGGTATCATAGCTCACAAACTCTTAGGCTGAAGTGATCCTCTTGCTTCAGCCTTCTGAGTAGCTGGGACTACAGGCACCTGCCACAATGCCCGGCCATTTTTTAGAGGCAGGGTCTCACTCTTGCTCTGGCCGGTCTTAAACTCCTGAGCTCAAGCAATCTACCCACCTTGGCCTCCTAGAGTGCTGAGATTACAAGTGTGAGCCATCAAGTCCTGCCCCAGGGGACCTTCTTAAGGCTCCCCAGGGGAGGGGTGATGTAGGGCTGGGTAGTGACATGGGTCAGGGATTCCTTCCTACACTGCCTGCCTCCTTTGCCCTGGCTAGGTTCTATAATTTACACTCAAATGTGTGTAGACCTCTGGCCCTTTATTATTCAGAGAAACAAAACTCTGGCTAGAAAGTGCTGAGCTGGGACTGCAATGGAAGTCAGTGGCTGTCAACTTACCAGACACTTTTCCTTTAAGGCAGAAGCAAATACTTTTATCCAAGGTTAAGTGGTAAGAAGGGGAAAGCAGGATTAACCACAGGCCTCTGGGGTTTCAGACTTGTGTCCCCAACCACCATTTGCTATGCTACTTCACCACCATGGGGCTCTGTGTCCTCATCTTTGCTTAGGAGGCCAGTGACAGTGCAGACCCTGGGCCTCTACTCTAAGCTCATCACCTCTCTGGGTCTCCATCGCAGATGGTACGGACGCTCTGAATCATCAACTCTTCAAGCATGATGGAGAGAGCTGCTTTATTTATTTTTTGAGACAGAGTCTCACTATGTCTCCCTTGATAGAGTGCTGTGGCATCACAGCTCTCAGCAACCTCAAACTCTTGGGCTTAAGTGCTCTCTTGCCTCAGCCTCCCAAGGAGCTAGGACCACAGGCGCCTGCCACAAAGCCCAGCTTTTTTGTTGTAGTTGTCATTGTTGGTTAGCTGGCCCAGGCTGGGTTCAAACCCATCACCCTCAGTGTATGTGGCTGGCACTGTGACCACTGTACTATGGGCGCCAAGCCACGAAACCTACTTTATTAAATGGTGGTGTTTTCAGGGAAGGGCAACTCTCCACCTCTTCCCTAAAACACAGCCCTGCTAGAGGAGGAGTATCTTTCCAACTACTTTGCTTCTAACTCAAATCTCCAACCTTAATTGTTTCTTATCACTGCAGTTTTTCTTACTAATGAAACAGTTAAGACATTTGTCCATTTTATTTTATTTGTTAAATTGCTAAAAAGTCATTAGGGGAAAACATTAACAAAAAATGAAATTGACAGATTTAAATATCAATGAAGTCCATTTTCATTCCTATATTGTTATGTGCCTAAAATGACTATCTCAGGGTAAGCCACCTGGCATCCCTGAGTCATATGGGAAACATCACTCACAGCACCAGCTTGGCCAGGGCACAATGGGCGTGCACTGACATGAACCCTGGTTGATGGGAGGGGAGCAGAGCGAGTAAGGAGTACAATGGAGCCAACGCCTAAGATTTGCGCTCATTTGACAATGAACATGGTGAGAAGGAGCCACATACTGGTGACCATGCAGAACATGCCTTCTGCAGTTCATGGGGAGGCTGTGTGGGACACAGGCCTCGAAGTTCAGCTTCCTTGCCCCTGGGTGTGTTCAGATCCTCCCCACTGACTCGTGCGCTGGTAAGAGACCACAGATAATGCAAAGCAGAGCATTTCACAATGCCAGGATCATCACAGGACAAGATCAGACAGACAGACCAACCAGGAGTATCACTTTTAAGGGGAAGGGAAAAAGCAAAGCAGAAGGAAACCCAGAAAGACAAGGTGGAAGGACAGGGAAACATCTCTTTGTTCTCCATGGGCTGGTAGATTTCTGTCCTCCAAAGTCAAGACTTCTTAAGTTGGCTTTCTTTCTTCCTCTTCCCCTCTTCTTTAAAGAATTCCAACACAGTTCCTAGATAGTTCACGGTTTCAGCTTTTGCTATAAAAGTCAAAAATTAAAATTAAATAAATCCACAGAGGGCTGTGAGGAGAGTAAGCCCAGTACTGCCTTAAAATGAAATTTTAGCTTGTTTCAATACCTAATTGGTGCTCCCAAAATAGGGTAGGGTGGGGTTGTGTAGCCTACCACCCAAGTGGGGAAGAAGGGCAGAAATACGAATGAAAAAACAGAAACCTTGCTGCTGCATAACCTGTGAAATGAGAGAACAGGAAGCTCTGTCCAAGACAGTAGTAGGAAGAGACTAAAATTCTTACATGAGGTCAACAAGGAGGTGGCCGGTGAAGTCACTGGCTCTCCAAGGCACACTTGCAGGAATGGAAGGGGTTAAAGCTTCAAGTAAAAACAAAATGTATTTTAAATACTTAAATACTGACAAATATTTGCTTTAGGTGCTCCTGAGGGTTTAAAAAAATTTTTTTTGTCTCATTTTCTCAGTTAAGACAAAATTGGCATCATGTCGAAAATGGGGTTGTGGTTAAATGTGATCTAACTGAAGCATCCACATGTTGTGGAAATGCTCACCTCAGATGAGACACCTGAAGTCCCATTGCACATGTGGCTTCATAAGGCCTGAGGAGAAAATCAGCTTGACAGTGTTAAGTTGCTTACTCAAGGTACACACCCATAGTGCCTAGGAGCCGCCAAGACCAACACCACCGGGTGCAGACAAGGCAGACTTTTCTTACAGAGTTATAAGCAGGCAGTCTGGTTCCAAGCAGTGTGGGTTACACCGGAATGGCATAGAGTTCAGAGGAACCAGAGGACTTTCTAAGAGAATCAACATCTCTGTTACCTGCCCCCTTGGGGTAAGAAGAAGGAATCAACAGGTTAGCAGCTGGCTTTAGAAGGCCACAGGACAAAGAGAAAGACTACAAGATTGAGATTCTGGACTTTCAGGCTTCCAAGTACAACATAATATTGAAATAGGAACTGAGTTTGGAGGCACTGGCCACGCACAAATGCAATGTCATAAAGATCCAACAACAAGAATGCCTACATTGCTAACCTTCGGGGCTAGCTTTCCTTTGTAAATAAGGACCCCAACATGATTGAATAGTCTTTGCCAAGCAAGGGTGCCAGAGGACCAGAGTCTGGAAAGCAAAGTGTGAAGCTTCAAGCAGTTGGATACAACAGTTAAGTAGGCACACAGTCATTTCCTCATCTAAGGGAGCATGAAGAGCAGCTTCTGGAACACAGATCCCCCTGTGAGCTGGCCTTTTCCTGGGCTTGGCACCACGGCTGCTTTCCTACTAAGACTACATCATAAAAACTAATGGCTAGGGAAGGGACTCAGCATGATGTAATGGGAGAAAACACACTCATGGGACAGACTGCTAAGTGCTGGCTGAAAGCCAGGACCCAGGGCCAGATGCAGCAGACTGGTGCCTGGGAAACACTAACAAGGAAAAGGGGAGAATGGAGTGGGAAACGTGATATTTCAAAATTTAAATCCTGATGGTAAAAGAAGAATCCTCTTTCCACTGATGAGAAATCATACACACACACACACACACACACACACACACACACACAATCCATATTTAAATGGTGCCATTTAGAATAAACTTATTTTGACATCTCCTCTGTTCAGGCTGTGGTCTGGAGACTAGTAACTTGTGACTTTCTGTATCAACCAAAGCGATGCTCAATTTGGTTGCGCCTAATCCCAGAAATAAAGTGAAGGTAAAAATCTAGTCCCTGTTTCGGTGACACATGAACAAGACAAACACAAGGGCAGAGCTGCTCCCAAGGTCAGCTATGCATCATAAAGGTCAAGTACATGATATTCAACCATATCACCTGTCAAACAGCTGGGAAGAGGAATATATGTCACAAGGGAAAAAAATCATTTCTGGAAAGAACGCTACTGGGTTTCCCTTCCATGATCAATTCCACATTCCACAAATATGGGATGGGTGTGCCCAGTGTGCTTAGGAAGTAAAAAGAAGCCAAGGAGGAAAAAACAGTATCTTTTGATGCCTCACAGACTTCTCACAATACTGGTATCTTGGTGATATACCTATTGGCCCCTAGTGATATCAGGGAAAGGATTCCAGAATTATTTCTAAGAAGCAGCCAATTTCTCTAGGCACGTGGGCTTTGTAAAAGAAATAGAGAGCAAAAAAGTTTTAGGGGGAAAAGGAAAAAAACAAGAAAGAAAGAAAAAAGAAGTAGACTAAATGGAAAAGCAGCTTCCAGGGACCAACTTCTAAAGGAAAAAAGGAGAACAAATATGGTTTTTGGCAACTTGCAACCAAATACGATTGTCAGAAAATTCCACAACCAGATACCAAAATGTTTTCTGAGATATGCAGGAAGCACTCCAAAGAGCAATGGACATTAGGTGGATAGATGATGGTTTCATACGCATTATTTCATGATAACCTGGCATACAAACATGGAACAAAATCCCTCATTGGGTAACTTTCCTCAGCCATAAAGGGCAAAAGGGGGCCAGGCACAGGGTATTTCTTCAGCATTGTAAAAGATTCTCTCGGTCTTAAGAGGAGAAGGGGAAGAACACTTTTTTGTAAGTTACTTTCACCCTGCCAGCACCTGAAGCATGAGACTAAAACCTCCACCTTTACATCTTATATAACCCTTTCATTTTTTTTAACTCTGAGAAGGCCACATAGAAATTTACAGGGGGCTCTTCAGTTTCTTTTGGAAAGTTAACTGACATTAGTCTGTTCCCTAACTTCTTGGTCTAGTTACCAGCAAAGTAGAAAAAGGCAGCACAGCCTCTGCTAAAACACAGCAACAATTTTATCTGAACCAGGACAGAGATCTCTCCCTTTTTGTAAACAGAGTTGGCTATATAATATATATATGTACATATATATATTTATATATAATTTTTTTCTTAATGGAGATTTGCTCCCAGCCTGGAGTGACTTAGGTTGGGAATTACTGTTTTAATTTATGGGAATAATTTTGTTGTTTTCCCAGTTCTCAGTCCAAATGCTTACACACTGGAAAATTCCAAAGTAAAAGCCACAGAAAGGGAAAGGGGTGTAGAACACATTATCTCTTTGCTCGCACAAAGTACAAGGCGTTTGTTTTGGGATAGTACTTCACATTCTGTTTCTTATCCATAAGTCCTCCGAATATGATGAGTTCACCTCTGCCTTGTACCACTGTGTGTAGGCTGGTTTCGGGAGGCCCGACCACTGAACTACTATTAAATACTTTCCATTTGACCCGCCCTTTCTCCTTGGTGTCTTTAATGTCCAGCACGTACATCTGCATTGGCTTGCAGTTCATACTCTGGTATAGGGGTTTGCCAACATTTAGGGACTGTGGAGGGTGATGGCCCAGGCGGCGGGCAATGGGAGGTAAGGAATGTCCATCTCCCTGGGCAGGCCCTGGGCGGGGAATGGGCACTGTTTCTCCACTGCTCAGGTTCTGGCTCCCAGGGGAGCCTGGAGATGACCCAAGAGGAGGACTTAGTGCTGCAGAGGTGGAGGGGCCTTTGGATGACATTGCTTTGACGGCTTCCAGACTCCGACGCAGGGCACCTGGGGAGACAGCCCCTGCAAGGGCACTGGCCACATGCGGTGGGGTATGCACACCATTCATCTGTTCAGGAGGGTGTCTCATACTTCCCCCAACTGTCCTGTTGTCCATGCCATCCATATGATTGCTACTGGAAGCAGACTTCAGATCCCAATTCAGATCTATGGATCCTAATCTCAGATCTTTCTGATCCGGTAGTGACCCTCTTCGAGAAGCCAAAGAAAGTCCCATTTTTAGGTCATATCCTTCAGCAGCAGATGGAGTACTTGGAGATATGGCCTGTACAGGGCTGTCCAAGGAAGACCCACTGACAGCTGCTGTTCCTGGAGATAAACTCCCACCATTCAGGATAGGAGAGCCATCTCCTCTGGCTGGGGAAAGACTCCCTTCCCGGGATCCCGAAGGAGTCTGCCTTTGAGCCCTGGGCCTCAGTGTTCCCCAGCGGCCATTAACACAAGGCGCTTCATCCATACTTCTTACTGGAGACTGAGAACGGTACTCTCGGGTTTCAGGAACCAGGGCTGGAGGAGTAGCACTGATGGGTGATGGACGAGAGTTCAAACTGGGGCTTAGTGGGGCTCTCCCACTAGGAGCCTGGCTGAAGACCACCACACATTGTCCCACCTGGAAGACAAAGGACCTTTCCTCATAGACTCTTCTAAAATTTGGATCACTCATTTTTTTTTTTTTTTTTGCAGTTTTTGGCCCAGGGCCGGGTTTGAACCCACCACCTCCAATATATGGGGCCAGCACCCTACTCCTTGAGCCACAGGTGCCACCCAGGATCACTCATTTTTTTTTTTTTTTTTTGAGACAGAGCCTCAAGCTGTCCCCCTGGGTAGAGTGCCATGGCATCTCAGCTCACAGCAACCTCCAACTCCTGGGCTCAAGTGAGTCTCCTGCCTCCCCCTCCCAAGTAGCTGGGACCACAGGCGCCCGCCACAGCGCCCGGCTATTTTTTTTTTTGGTTGCAGCCGTCATTGTTGTTTGGCGGTCTGGGCTGGGGATTCGAACCCACCACCGGTTGAGCTATAGGCGCCGAGCCGGATCACTCATTTTTATCAAACATTTTATCATGAGCAATCTGAAATATGCCAGGTATTTTGTAGGTGCCTGAGACATACAAATGAAAATGATATAATCTGCTCCCTAGGCTAGAAGGAGAGACAGGCACGGGAATAATTGTTGCTTTAGTGTGAGAGACATGTGTTATCCTAAGAGCTATGTCTATGGAATAGGGGTGAAATACAGGGAAGAATCAATTTTTGTTTGAGTGATTGCAAAGACAGTTTCACAGATAAAGAGATGTTTGAAGTTGGGACTTACAGATGAGTGGGGCCCACATAAATTTGTCCATCTAATGGCTCATTTATGTGAAAAATGCCAAAGAAGCTATACTTAATATCCACCTCTTTTGTGACACGAAGGTGTTTTCTATTTTTGTGCAAATTTCCTTTGAGATCTGATAAATGAATATGGTTTTCCAGTTTAAGACCTCGCTTCCTGCTGGCCTGTCAGCTCCCTGCTTACCCGGCAAGCTGGATGGCACCAGAGTTCTGGGGCCCCATGCTCTTCATTTTCTACCTTGAGTGGCTGCCAAGCCCAGGGACCTGAGTGCATGTGCAACAACCAAGCATCCTTGAACAGCTGTAAGAGAGGAACCAACAAAAGGAATCAGGTGTGACACGTTTCAAAACACATAACACAGCTGCAGTCTCAAAGCCACACTGTCTAGTCCCTGGAGCATGTGGGCTCTTCAGAAAGAACATCCAAGTCCTCAGTTAATCATTCAGTTGTGCATGCTTTCATTCATTCATATATTACTACTTGCCTACCACATGAAATTGTGCTTGCAACTCAAAAATCAACTGTAGGGGGTTTTGAATCTTGCCCACGGTTTTATCATGTGTGAGTGTTCTAGGGGTTGAGAGAGAGTAAATAATGTACATCCACAACTTTCTGAATCTGCATCCTTAAATTCCACATGGATTCTGACAGTTACCAACTTGCTTTTCTGTCCTGGTGCCCAATCCCCTTTGAAAGAATAATAGTGGCAAACCTTACCGCCTAAAGAGGAAGTAGGAAAAGGAAGAATATAAAGATGAATATTTAAGAGACAAATGTCTCTGATTAAAAGCAATTCTCAACCTTAAAAAAAAGTAGAACAAAAGGGCCAGAAAATACAAAAGCTATATACCCAAGGTAGAAAAGGTATTCCCTAAATGACAATGCCACGGAAATAATCTTGTATACTCCCGTAAAATAAGATAGGGGAAGTAAGTTTTGGACACTCAGCATGTGCATGGGAATGCCACACAAGCAATACTCACAGCATTGGGACCGCCACACCCTCCAAGAATTAAGATAGTTGCATCATCTATGACAATCTGGGGAATGGAAGAAATTAAAAATAAACCTACGAAGACATAGGTATCTGACTTTCTATGGCTCAGTGGTATATGAAAATAGCCTACGTAGCTCCCAAATGAGACTGTTCTAGTTTCCACAAGCTCTCCATTGTGCCAAAGCCATATAGCTCAGTTCTGAGCCCTGTGAACATATTACTGATAATTCATCTAAAGGATATACTCTTTGTTGATCAAATACTAACAGAAGCGTCAACCATATTAAAAGCAGTTTTCTTAGGCTGGGCATGGTGGCTCTTGCCTGCAATCCCAGCACTCTGGGAGGCTGAGGCAGGTGGATTGCCTGAGCTCATGGGTTTGAGACCAGCCCGAACCAGAGTGAGACCCCATCTCTAAAACAGTCGGGCACCTATAATCTCAGCTACTCAGGAGGCTGAGGCAAGAGATCACTTGGGCCCAAGAGTTTGAGGTTGCTCTGAGCTATGACACCATGCCATTTTACTGAGAGTGACAAAGTCAGACTCTGTCTCAAAAAAAAAACAAAACCAAAAACGCAATTCTCTTGAGAAATAGCAAAGGAAAAGTAAATACTTCGGGAAAAGAAATAATGTAAAGCCACTACAAGTAATATGACCCATTTGAAGTTGAAAAATTAAATACTGGCAAAAAAGAATGATAAATTTTCTTTGGCTTAGTGCATACTGGCATCTTCCCTGACTCCTTCTTCCCTCCCCGGTCCTAAGTGAAAGATGCTACAGTGTTTGCTAAATAGTTATTTTAATTCCTGAGCACCTGAGATTGGCCACCTCGAGGATGAGGACTGGGGCCGGAGATGTTCGGTTTGGACCACGCCCACTGCTCAAGGTCAAGGACCCAGACATCGTTGCTCCTGTGAGATAAGGACAGAAGGGTGAAGGGAACTGGGAGCTCCCAGGGACCACAATGGTGGCTGTGGAGTTCCACATGCCTGTCCCAGCTGGCAAACTTGAACGATTTTCACTTTCACACAGACTACCTGGGCTGAAGAAGGTTCAGAGATGGCCTACTTAAGGTTCAGGGACTTCAGAACCAGAAAGATCATGTTGCTAAATCCTAGCTCTGCAGCCAGAATAAATCACTTAAATTTCTCTAACTCTGCATTCCTTACCTAAAAAATGAAAATAGTGTTATTACTTTAAAGAGCTGATACAAATGAAGTCACCTTTATAAAGATGCCCAGCAGAGTACCACACTCCTAGCTGGCCCTTACACTGCCTTGTTTTTCTCTAACTTTTTTAGCAATCATCTTGAGACCTTTAAACCTCTACTCTTTCCACTGACCCATAAAGCTTCATTTGAGCTATGACTGTAGCCACACACTAGTATCTGAGGTAAAAGTTAATTGATGACAGATGGGAAGAGCTACTGGTCAAGCTATAGTCTTTCAATGGCAAACCACAGGGAAGAGAAAAAAAAATGACTTGAAAGGCAGCTTCATCACTGTCCGGGAGTTAAAAGCTTTATTGATTCTAGCTACAAAGAGTAATTTCACAATGGCTAATGAAAGCTGCAGGATAAATTGGCATCTCCAATTCTCAAGGCAAGGACAAACTCTTGGATGGCCATCTCTCTTTTATGGTCACCTCCCTAAGGTCATTTATTTATGCACAGGAATATAGGAATAATATCTTAGCTCCAATATCTTAAATTTTAAATGCTCTCATTTAAAAGCTAGTTCCTATAGTCTTGCTCCACAATTGTTTCAAAGTATAGAGTTGCTCTAAGAGAGGACAGAGTTTGGTCTGGAGTGGCCAGAACACAGAGGGAATGACCATGACTGTTGCTACCATGAAATCAGACAGTGATACAACTAGAATGCTCTGGCTCTTAATTCTAGCCTGGGCTGGCCAGTTGTGACCAGAGGTGGGGGGACAGCCTCATCCTATTCACTCCCCAGCCCATCTCAGTTGGAGTGCCTATGATTTTCACCTGTCCTATTAGTCAACCTCTTTCCCCCTCTAATGCCCAAAAGGCTGGGTAAAAGAGCAGAGCAAGTACAAGCACCCTGTTTCTCAGAGGCGGGCCTTTGGGTCTTCTGTAGGTACAGTACAATGAACTAGGTGCAGATTCTATCAAAATTTGATCCTGTTAAATGGAACCACATGGGCCGGGCATGGTGGCTCATGCCTGTAATCCCAGTTCCAGGAGGCCAAAGGGGTGGAGTGTCTGAGCTCAGACGTTCAAGACTAGCCTGAGCCCGAGCGAGACCACATCTCTAAAAAAAAAAAAAGTAGCCAGGCATTGTGGCGGGCACCTGATGTCCCAGCTACCTGAGATGCTGAGGCAAGAGGATTGCTTGAGCCCAAGAGTTTGAGGTTGCTGTGAGCTATGATGCAACAGCGCTCTTACTGAGGGTGACAAAGTAAGACTCTGTCTCAAAACAGAAAATAAAACAGAAACGGAAGCACATGTCACACAGAAATTCTCATAACCTGGATTTTATGGAGTCAGTTTTTCAACTTACTGGTCTGCAACTTGGGGATCAAAGAACAGAATGCTAGAGTGAGATAACTAATTGGATTAATTAGAACTATGCTCAGGAATACTGACCTTGACTAGTTCACTTTTCTGTCTTGTTATTCCCAGGAGTATGTACCTTTAGGTTAATACAGAGCAAACCAAATATACTTACATTTGCCGAGATCCTAAAGAGCCACCAAAAACAATCATTTTATCATCTATCACACAGGAGGAGTGGCCAGCCATAGGAGGTGGCCCATGGGTTGTCACAATGCAGTTCCACCTAATGTAAAAAGATAGGAGGAAGCCAAGAAGTCAGTACTATCTTTTGTTTTTTTAAATTTCAGATTAATACAAGGGTACATACATGTGGGTTACATTGTTTGCATTTGTTAGGTAACATCTGAGTTACAGTTGAGTCCTTCACCTAGGAAGTGTTCCATATACCCCTACACTGTACCGTTAAATGAGAGCTTACTGTGCCCCTTACTGTACAGCACCATCTATTTCTGATCTCATATGTTTAAGGCAAAAAAACAGTAATAAGGCATCCATGTAAAATGACAATCCTATTACTTTGAGAACAGGTATTGTTTTTGTTTGAACCCGCCATCTCCAGTATATGGGGCAGGTGCTCTACTCCTTTGAGCTACAGGTACCACCCCAGAATAGGTATTGTTAAGATAATAACTAGAAGATGGCAAAAGGTATTTGTGCCTTTTTAACATACTTGCTTAAAGTTACATTCACTTTCAAGTTCTCAATATCAGATGGCTTGGAGGTAGTGTAGAGAGATGACAAGACAATAAGAAGGGACAAGATCAAAGCCTCTCGCTGCTTCAGCCTGGTCTGCAGCACCTGTCACTTCTCACCACAGCCTGATCGGTAGCAGCTGCCAGGAGCCATGTACTAAGTATTCCTTTACAGGAACAGGGGTATCTGTCATCTAAAAAATACATGTAAATTATAAACAATGGGAGTCAGTCTTGGCGACAGAGTAGGGGGTAAGGAATCATCCAGATCTATAATACTCCTGTGGAATTAGCAGCTAAAGCTGATGAACTCCTTGTTCTTCGACTGGCTCAGTCATTTTTCTTGGACAAATAAATCTCTTCTACTTTTTCTCTTTGGAATAAGGGTTTTGAATTTAGGGTAGGTAAAATCTGTGTATATGTACTTTTTCTACTCCTGGGAAAAGAGTCCATAGGCAAAGGGATTCTTGACACAAAAAAAGATAAAGAATCCATTGATTTAAAATCTCTTCTTCCAGATTTAAAGGAGCGTATCTTCATGACTTACCAATTTTTAGAGGGTGAATAAGTGTGTATTTCATCAAAGAATCTCTCCGGTTGGTGTAGGGGATAAGGGCTTGGCCGCGTCCAGCCACCAAACAGCACTAGCAGGTCCTTGTACACAACCAGAGTTGCTCCAGCTTTGGGGGAAGGATAGGACCCTAGGAGAAGTCAATAACATCATAGTTAGGATTCAAGATCTTGCAACAATCCGTAGGTAGGCTACCTATAGATCACCTTTCCCTGGAAGAGTGACAAACTGGAACCAATACTAGAAAGGTATAGGGGGAAAGGGAGAAATAAAACTGGGTTTGCAGGTCTGAAGAAATAGCCACCAATTTATATATATATTTATTTATTTTTAATATTTATTTTTTGGGAGACAGAGTCTTACTCTGTCACCCTCGGTAGAGTGTTGTGGCATCACAGCTCAGAGCAACCTCAAACTCTTGCCTCAGCCTCCTGAGTAGCTGGGACTATAGGTGCCTGCCACTATGCCCAGCTGTTTTTAAAGAGGAGTCTAGCTCTGGCTCAGACTGATCTTGAACCTGTGAGCTCAGGTAATCCACCTGCCTCAGCCTCCCAATTTATATATTTTCATAGCTAACACAGAAAAACTGGAGTTAGAGAAAAGTTACTTAGCCTCTCTCAGGTTTAATTTGCTAACTGGAAATTAGGGATGATAGTACCTGTCTCAAAAGGCTGTTTTGAGTACTAAATAACACATAGATCAGCTTTCGCAAGAATTTTCTTTTTTTTTAGACAGAGTCTCACTTTGTTGCTTCCATAGTGTTCTGTGGCGTCTTAGCTTACTCTTGCCTCAGCCTCCCAAGTAGCTGGGACTACAGGTGCCCACCACAACGCCTGGCTATTTTTTGTTGTAGTTGTCGTTGTTTAGTACGCCCGGGCTGGATTTGAACCTGCCAGCCCTGGTGTATGTGGCTGGCACCCTAACCAATGAACTACAGGCACAAAGCTAAGAAAAAAAATTTTTAAAATACATTCAAAGCACCAAACACAATGCCTGACACATAGTAGGTGCTCAATAAATGTTGACTTTCCTTTCTATCCCTTTAGCCAACAAATGACACAAGGGAAAGAATGTAAGAGGATCTAGGGATGAGTATACACAGAGGACAGGGACCTGGATGCAACTTAAAAGTAACTGTTGGCACCAAACAGAGGTAAACAAACAGGTAGAATATAGTTCTTATTTCTTCTGAGTCCGATGTTAACACAGTGACCTCTAGGCCCCTAGCTATGGACCTCACATGGCTGGACAGCTGCAGACCTCAGACTAGCACAAATGGGGCAGACTTTAAAAGGCTTAATGTTGGGCGGCGCCTGTGGCTCAGTGAGTAGGGCGCTGGCCCCATATACTGAGGGTGGTGGGTTCAAACTCAGCCCTGGCCAAACTGAAACAAAAAATAGCCAGGCGTTGTGGTGGGTGCCTGTAGTCCCAGCTACGTGGGAGGCTGAGGCAAGAGAATGGCCTAAGGTCAGGAGTTGGAGGTTGCTGTGAGCTGTGACTCCACAGCACTCTACCAAGGGCAATCAAGTCAGACTGTCTCTAAAAAAAAAAAAACAAAAAACAAAAAAACCCTTCCCCTCCATTAAAAAATAATAATAATAAAGGCTTAATGTTAACAAATTTCTTTCTTTTTTTTTTTTGAGACAGGAGCCTCAAGCTGTCACCCTGGGTAGACCATGGCATCACAGCTCACAGCAACCTCCAACTCCTGGGCTCAAGCGAGTCTCCTGCCTCTGCCTCCCAAGTAGCTGGGACTACAGGCGCCTGCCACAATGCTCGGCTGTTTTTTTTGTTGTTGTTGCAGCTATCATTGTTGTCTGGCGGGCCTGGGCTGTATTCGAACCTGCCTGCTCAGGTGTATGTGGCTGGCGCCTTAGCTGCTTGAGCCACAGGTGCTGAGCCACACCAAGGGTTACTAGGGCCATCCAGGGCTGGACCTCTGAGCTACAATGACCAAATTTTGAAAAAAAAAACAAAAACAGAAATTTGATTTATGTTAGAAAACCTTAGGAATAACAAATATCTCAAAGGAATATAATTTTACAAAATCTTTTGTCTTCAAAATAATAATCTATTTCCCTCAATCAGTCACTCTACCTATCACCTTTAGTTTGTTCAAGACCACAGAAATGCCGGGCACGATGGCTCACGCCTGTAATCCTAGCACTCTAGGAGGTTGAGGCGGGTGGATTGCTTGAGTTTGAGACCAACCTGAAAAAGAGTGAGACCCCATCTCTACTAAAAATAGAAAAACTGAGGCAATAGGATCACTTGAGCCTAAGAGTTGGAGGTTGCCATGAGCTATGATACCATGGCACTCTACCAAGGGTGATAGCTTGAGACTCTGTCTCAAAAAAAAAAAAAAACTCAAAGTAATTTGTCCCAATATCTAAGTGTCAATAAATACTGGAATATTAAAACTATTTTTTTTTTTTTTTGTAAAGCTGCAGGTTTCATTTTCCAAAGGATATCTTATTAGAAGGAACCTGAAGACTATATTAACCTAACAGCATCTGAGGTGCTCCAATTTAGGTGGACGGCTTAGTTTCTCCCCTCAGCAAAGGGCTACGGGAACATAGTTTGAAAAGCTTTGTTTGGGCTGTTTCAGTGGTATCACTTACAAAGTCTCAAGGGTGAGGAGCTGGGGCAGAGGACTGTTTTCCTTGTGATCTAACTTAAGCATAACTTCATATTTTGAGGTACTACTCCTCAAAGTATAGGACACTGTGGCATCAGCTATTTTGAATACTCTTCTAATAGAACAGAACAATCCAGTCCAAAACATGGGATCTGACCACACTGCTGAGTCTTCTCTATCAACAGTTCTTGTGTAAATCGGCACTGGCTGAGACATTCCATGAGTTAGTTCTATTCTCATGTCCCGCAGGACTAAGGAGACTACTTGTGATCTGTTGTCCTTCACACATCTTACTGTTTCTGGTTAAAAACTTTGGCTCAGCGCCTGTGGCTCAAGCGGCTAAGGCGCCAGCCACATACACCCAAGGTGGCGGGTTCGAATCCCCAGCCCGGGCCCGCCAAACAACAATGATGGCTGCAACCCAAAAATGGCCAGGCGTTGTGGTGGGCACCTGTGGTCCCAGCTACTTGGGAGGCTGAGGCAGGAGACTCGCTTGAACCCAGGAGTTGGAGGTTGCTGTGAGCGTGATGCCATGGCACTCTACCCAGGGGGATAGCTTGAGGCTCCGTCTCAAAAAAAAAAAAAACTTTGCCTCAGGCCAGGTTCAGTCAATGCCTCATGCCTGTAATCCTAGGACTCTGGGAGACTGAGGCGGGTGGATTGCCTGAGCTCAGGAGTTTGAGACCAGTCTGAGTAAGACTGAAAACCCCCTCTCTAATAAAATAAAAATAGCTGGGCATTGTGGAAGGCACCTGTAGTCCCTGCTACTCAGGAGGCTGAGGTAAGAGGATCACTTGAGCCCAGGAGTTTGAGGCAGTTGTGAGCTATGGTGCGATGGAACACTACCGAGGGTGTTGAAGTGAGACTGCCTCCAAACAAAACAAAACAAACCCTAAATCTTTTGCCTCCCATTGGGTACAATGTATTCTGGTGACAGGCATGCTAAAAGCCCTGACTTTAGCATTACACAATTTATCCACCTCAAGAACACTTGTAGCCCCTAAACTTTTGAAATAAAAAATATTGTTTAAAATATCAAAAACCAAAAACAAACTTTTGCCTCCTTAGAAGATCTACCTCCAAGTTCAACTAGAAAATCTAACTAACATAATCGGCTAGTTAAAACACTAGTGTCGCTCTAAAATGACTTAATTTGTGAAACACCAAAGAAAGCTTCAAGTTCTTGCTCCTAACTTGGAAATCCTAAGTACTGTAAAATAGTTTAGAAAGAACAAAACAGGTTGTGCCAAGGATGGTGGCCTGTAAATCTAGCACTTTGGGAGGTCAAGGTGGGAGGACTGGTTGAGCCTAGTATTTTAAGACCAGACTAGGTAACAGCAAGATCCCATCTATACAAACAAAAATATGTTAGCTGGGTATGGTGGTATATGACTAAATCCCAGCTACTAGGGAGGCTGAGGCAAGAAATCACTTGAGCTCATGACTTGGAGACTCCATCAGCTATGATGATGCCACTGCATTCTAGCCTAACAGTAGAGCCTCTGTCTCAAAAACAAACACACAAACACACAAAAAACCCCACAAAACAAATAAAATGAAATATATAAGGGCTGTCTGGAAAGTATCTAGCTATGTACTTGAAAAATATGAAAAACAATGGCCACATACTTTCTGGACAGCCCTCACATAATAGGCTTCAGCAAAGTAGTAACGTAAACCTTCTCGACTGTGGATTTGGATTTGAGATACTGCAAACCCTGGCTTTTAAAGTGAAATGCATAGGCTCAGTGCCCACAGCACAGTGGTTACAGCACCAGCCATATACATCGACGCTGGTGGGTTTGAACCCGGCCTGGGCCAACTAAACAACAATGACAGCTGTAACAAAAAATAGCAGGGCGTTGTGGGCACTTGTAGTCCCAGCTACTTGGGAGGTTGAGACAAGAGAATTGCTTAAGCTCATGATTTTGAGGTTGCTGGGAGTTGTAATGCCAAAGCACTCTACAGAGGGCAATGTAGTAAGACTCTGTCTCAAAAATAATAATAAATAAAATAAAGTGTATAAAGCAGGGGTATTCAACCTTTTGGCTTCTCTGGGCCACACTGGAAGATGGGTTGTCTTGGGCTACATGTTAAATATATAAACACTTAACAAAAGCCGATGAGCAAAAAGCAGAAAGGTCTGTGTATAATTTTTGTGATATGTGCCACACAGATAAGCAAAAAAATCCTCACAGCCCTCTTAATTATGCAGCAGCCCCTTCAGGGGCTTTTAAAATTGTTGAGCAGGTCCCAAGTTTGCAATCACCAATATAGAAAATAGACAATATCCAAGTAATAAAATAAACATCTTTGGGGCTTTTTGATTTTTTTTTATTATAAAAGTAAAAAAAGAAAGTGGGCAACAAACTAAAACTAGTGAAATATTTCACTAGTCTAAAGCTCATTCTTTTGACCATCATACTCCGCTTGTTGATCTTCACACCCACAGATACAATGCCTCTGAGCAGCTGCCACAGAAAGTCAGATCT